AGTTATAATATTTATGAAAACAAAATGATCAGTAGATTTTTTTTGTAAAAAGTTTTTCGTATTGATATGTAACTAAATAAAGTTGTTTCATTTTTTACACATACAATGGTTAATAAATACGTGTGCAATTGTGTCTCCGAAATTTTAATTATTTCTCCGGATACTTGTTCATTTCAACGTTACTAACACCCACGTAAAATATTACCCGAACCTATAATAATTGTTGATGGTATATTAGCCATTAAAATTATATGCAAATCTTTTTGACCGCAGCGCACAACTGACCCATGCCGCGAATTTTGACAAAAGTAGTTTTATATGTTAGCGCTATTTTGTACTACAATTTTGTGAGTGCCTTTACATTAAGTGGACCCTACTGTTTGAAAAAAAGAGAGATTCGAAGTATACTATATATCTTTATAAGAGTAGAAAAAACTTCAAAATTGCAGTTTTTTAAATTATTTTGGTGTGTCTGTTGTTAGCAAAATTGCTTTTAAAGTCAGGGGTTTGTTAATGCCGTTTCGTTTTTTATGACATATTGTTAGTTAATGGCTTTTTTATAATAGTAACCTTGGAAGTGATTTGGAACATTTTATCAGTGCTTCTAAACCAAATCGAAAAAAAATTTGAATCAAAAATTAAAAACCGTAATTTTTAGAAACACGTTTGTCTAATTTTGATCAAGTTAATCCTAGACGTGAGAGTCTCATTAGGAATCATAATTGTCGAAATAGCAGTTAGTATTTTTAATGACTCTATTTCTGGTTATCTAATGGACTTTGGTTTAAAAACAGAGTTATTATGTTATAATTTATAATATAAATGCTTCTTGCATTGCAGGTGGCTTAAAGAAAAGCGGAAAGCGGCAAATCGATAGGTCTAAACTTTTTTAAGCCACCTACAATGTAAGAAACACTTACAATAACCCTGGATAAGTAATAAATAGTGGTTCCGACTTCTCTTGTACACCACCGGAACAATTAGAGGCAGCAAATGAAGCTACATTGAAATTGTAGCCCGTTAAACTAAAAAAAAAACTTTACAACAAAGGGACATTTACAATTTGTGAAGTGGCAACACAAAAGAACATTCCACCTCCTTTTCAGTAACAGTAGTACTGACATATTTTTTCGAATCGTCGCATCAAATGAAGCCACCGACTTTGTGAGCTCAACATTTCATGTATGTTCATTACACGCGACGAACAATATAAATACTTGTAAATACAGGAAAGCAATTGAAGTTTTGAAGCAAAGTTCATAATGTCACCGACAAAAGCCATTGGACACTTCTACGGTAGTAGAAGTTAATGAATTTCTGAAAAATGCTTTTTATTAACTTTGTTTCTTTACAAACCAAGTGTAAATATCTTACTTAAATGTACTTAAAGAATAAAGTTAAATAAAATTCTTGTTGAATAATGAGAAGTTTTTGATAACATTGAAATAACATACTGCACAGACGAAACAAGTCGATAACACATGGTTAGGTAATTCTGGTTCCTCAATCATCGTTCTTGCATCTAGAACTATCTTCGTCAAGAATATTTGTACAATTTATACAACAATAACTTTGTTTTTTTAATATTATTCCAAGAACTAAAATATTTCAATCTTGTCAGCTTGAAGAAAAAATAGTTTGACATATCAACAACTAACTATAAGTAGGAGACATCAGACATCACGACTTATTCATATAGATTGCAAAAAAGGATTAACTTTTTGTAGGTTTTTGACCGATGAATGCAGTTGTATTCAAATTATCACTGTTTAGAGAGATTGATGACAATAAAAGCAGCAGAGAGACTTTTCCTTAATATCAACATAATCCCGAGAGCACCGCAAAACTTGTGACAACTATTGGAAAGTTAACACAACTACTTCGTGCAATAATCCTCTCTATTAACTTGTGGATCCTATGTTGTCGCCCATTAAATATTCAGTGCAACCAAAAAGAAAAGTTTGCCATCAGTCAATAGCAGTATTAAAACTAAAACATAATATATGAAACTATTTCTAGAATGCTCTTTCTTAATTGGCGGCATTCTGTTGCAGCTTACGTCGGAAAAATTTTAGATTTTTGACAATAGAATACACATGTTTGTCATCAACTAAAAAACAGAAAAAATTATCACTGTATAAAGAAGAACCACATTGTGCCCTCCACTCATTTGAATTTCGTTAACGCTAATAATAGATATTTTGAAGTTTCGCTTGACTGCAAAATAAAAAGATTGAAGTAATTAAAATATATATTTTTTTAATCTTGAATAGAACCGAAATTAAATATATGTATATGCATTTTCAACAAGGAGAAGAACCGTGAATGAATATTAATTTTTTCGGACGAATATGCATATTTTTAACATTGTTTCCATATATTTATATTTTGTATTATTTTACGCCTAGAAATAAATATTTGCTTTATTTATTCTAAAATTCCCATGCTAATAATGCTGTTGTTATAATAAAATATTCTAGTTATCAAAAAATTATTTTTCATATCGGTTTTAGCTAGTCCAAATACAACGTGCAAGCACTGAATTTCAGTCCAAGAAGAACCAAGCAAACCAGTTGCTTAAAATAAAATGAGTGCAGTAAATAATTTCGAAGGAAATGATTAAGTGATACGTTTTTGACGCGCTCGAATAATTATTATTATTCTAACTCGATTAGTGTCTCATCAAAAAATTTTCACTTTGTTTTAAAAAGCAAATACACAATTTTAGTACAGTTTTTACAGACGTTTTGCGCCAAATTTCAGAAATTATCCTGAAAAACGCGAGCATAACCTTGAAATAGCTGTCTGGATGCAAAGAAAATCCTGTGTTGCTGCTTAAAGACAGTTTATAAACAACAGAGTCGCTGGATTCTTTTTATGAAAACGACCAACATGCTCGAGATTGGAAAATGTGTTCTTTGATGTACTCATATAGACTTGGTTTGGGCGCAAGTTGTGCGAAAACTCTCTATTAGACGATATACATTTTCCGAATATGAAAATATTAAGATAGGGAAGAAAAATATTAAAAACTGGATGAAACGTGCACTGTGGAAATACAGTTAGTGTGGCAAATAAGGCTAGAATAACAAAGATCCTGCGGAATTGTGTTGTGCGTCAGTCATCAGCTGAATGTCATTCCGAGAGGAAAATTAGGTCGCTGCGGAAAGGCTTAAGTTGGGAGTTAGTGGCATATTTCTGGCGCGTAAGATGAAGGGGTTAAGTTTAATTGAGTAGAAGCTAAATTGATACTTATTGTGTACCTTGAGTGAATTTTCTCGAGTAAGCGATATTTAGTTCATGTTTAAGTTGTTGAGCTGATAAGACCTCTTCTTTTGCTGCACCCTATTGTTTAGTTTTATAAAAGATTCTCCCCGAGTGATATTATATACAGTAAACGAGGAAACACCGTCATTGTTTCCTTTTAAAAGGTTGTAGCGATTTTAAATTACTTGTTTTAAAGTTTTATGAGCTCCATTCAGTGCTCTTTTGCAGCTATTTTTGAGCATGTTTACAAAATGCTCCGACCTAAAACGATGTCGCAAAGGGCAAAGTGTGGATCCGAGTTGTCCTAAATTATTTCAGGGTGTGATCCAGGCCCAGGGCGGTAATGCTAAGTAAACTTCTGATGTACATAGGCGGTCAGGACGTTTCAATAATGGCTCTACTTGCACTATTTGCAGCCGGAATATTAAACCTATCTGGAACAACAGAAGCAAAGGGGACTGCTAATAGGGGGTGGGTCGGCCTTAGCAACTAGCGGCCAACTTCAAAGGATTAATTCAATTAGCAGATCCTTCATTAATTAACTGGTTTGCACATTTTGATTACTATGCAACTTCATAAATATTCAAGCAATCCGAATAATATTGTCACAATTTACAATTTAACTAATGAACCGAACACCGCGTTTGCTCTATTTACATTCGTTTCATTCTCTCGTACACATTATGTTATCCAATAAATTCCACACCAAGTGGAATTAATTGAAAGCCCTCCAAGTCTACATACTATTAATCTCCAGGTTCGCACTAACCATTCTGCATCGAATTCCAGAAGCATGAAAAACGAGAACGCAGTAATGTCTTTTAAATCCTCAGAACAAAAGAGCAAATGTGAAGTTTCCTTTAAAACATTTAACAGTGGCAAAGACGTTTTCATAATTTCTTAGTTAGTTACTTAGAATCTTCCTAGCCTCTGAAGTGCAACAGGTATTATAGTTATAAATAATGATGACATTTTTTTGTTGGCTGAAATAAAAATATATAGGGGTGGAAATACCCCAGGTAAGACTTTTTCTCTTTCTATCTTATGCACCTTGTGTGAGACAAAAAATTACCAAATTTTGAGTATGTCGTAGAAATTTTATATCAAATTTTGAAAATTGTCATCAGAATTATTTGCCAAACAGAATTTTTGGTTTATTTAACGTTTTACGGCTCCACTTAGTTCTGAACAATGAAACAACTTAGTGACCAAACAAAACAAGTTATATAAAATGTGTTGGATTATGTAGAAAGCAACCATGATGTTGTGCAATTTAAGAAACAAAGAAAAACAGAAGTGGTGGCCCAAATGTTAAAAATTTCTGAAAAATCTTTATCTTGAACTTCTGCAATTTGCATTGATATGTTACCATAGCAAGTTATCCGTAACATACAAGAAAATACATATTTTGGTTACTAAAAAAACGACACAGTCTAAATATTTTGAACAGGGGTATTTCCACGACTTTAGTTTCAGAGATTGTTTGTTTAAAAACCGAGACACAAACTATAGATACACAAAATAGAAGACCTCTATTTTCGTTTTCTATAAACCGCTAAACGTCTAGAAAAAGTGAAATTGGGCTTTCGTCAGAATGATCCTATTAGCACTATTTACTGCCCACGCTTACGTTCACGAAAGAGAAAACAGTCACTACCATTACGGAAATAAAGCAAGCTTAAACAAATACTTTACGCTGAATTTCCAGGACTAAGCTAATGTAGGATAATTACCTCCACCGATGCCTGGTGCAGATTTACCTGAAAAAGAAAAAGAATAATGAGTACATACTGTGAAAAACGTTAAAACTAACTTTAGTTGTTCGCAACACATATTTTATATAAATACAGTTTATACACAGTATATGTAGATACTCAACACAGCTTTGCGCTTTTAAGGGTTAGTGGTCAAGCCAATGCGGATTATAAATTTTTCCGCATAGTTAAAACCCTGTTTATCGCAATCAAACGAATATAAATGAATCATTAATGCAGAAATTCGTCCTAATTACGTTTTATTTATACTAGTATTAATAATTTATGATGCGACCCCGCATGTGCTGAATATGCGAATAAACTTGGTAATTCCGTAATTAATGGTAACAAATTTGTTTGTATCAAAGTTGTTATTATAGCGGCTTTAACAGCTGAAATATCGGCGGCAATAGATCGAGAGCTGCGCTCAAAGCGAATATTTATTATTTTAATATCATTAAAGTTAGCAACTTTGTTGGCTTTAAACAATGAGGCACATATTGTAACAGAGCTTCGGCAAAAGCTCACATAACAGTTTTATTGATGAGGCGAAATTATCAACTAAGCGCTCTTGGAAACTACATCCATTTCTCCTGTTTGTGGAGCAAAGTACGGAATAATAAATGAAACAAGAATGGACGGCAATTTTCTTTTGTATTTAGAACACTGCTGCTACAAGTTAATGTCGATGGAGAAAAACTAGACAAGTTTTTACATTCAAATTACTTAAACACAAATGAGGTAGAAACTATGCTATAATATAATAATAATACAGTCTGGCGGTGGAAAATTGCGCGTTCAACGTGAATTAAAAAAAATTGACCCAGTTTGATAGAATTCATTTAGGACTATAATTATTATTGAAAATCGTTTTACTTGAAAAAAAGAGAAATGTAACATTGGATACATTGTACGTTTACGTAATGAAACTGAAAATAAGAAAATTATTTAAAAAATTTCTACTCCACCACATTTTAGTTACTGGACAAACTACACAAATTTTTAATAAATAATAAGAGTGCTACAATTTAAGTATTTATTTACGAAAATTAAGTCTGCAAATGGTCAGTTTTCTTGTTCTTGGTCTAAAAAAAAAACTTAGAGATTTGAAAAATGTTATAAAATATAATAATAAACTTTATTAATTTCCAGAAATCATATACACATGTGTAAGGAAAAATCGTCAACATTACTAATAGTCAATAAATAAATGTACAACATGTAGGTTTGTGAGTTAGACATCACAGAGGAACTCATCTGATGTAAATATAATAGCTTTTTTCAATAGAACTTACATACCTTAAGACAGTTCTTTTTTGAATTAAAAAAACTTTATGAGAGTCAATGGCAGCTCTACAGTGACGTAGTGCATAGCGTATAATGCTGTGGAAGCAGCCAAAATAGAGTTGTCTAACTACAGGCACACTACAGTCCATGCTCGATGAAACGGAAAAGATCATTTACGTAAACGACAACCAAGGTCGGGCCTAGAATCGAGCCTTGGGGAACTCCACGATTGACTGTTTTTGGTAATGATTTTGTTTCACCTATTGCTACATGTTGATGTCTGTCGGATAAATACGACTTAAATCAATCTAGAGATTTTCCACGAATGCCATAGTTCTCGAGTTTGTTGACTAGAATGTCACGATTGACACAATCAAACGCTTCGGAATAGTCAATGAAGAGTCACCTCATTTTTGTTTAAATATAATACAATTTCGTTAATAAAGTTATTTAAGGCCGTGTCGGCAGACTTTCCTTTTGAGAAGTCATGTTGGTTTTAGGACAGAAAGTTATTTCTAACTAAATAATCAACAAGTTGTTTGTTTCCAATAATTTTGAAAACTTTTGAAATAGAGGAACATAAATTTATGGGCCTATAATTTGTTATCGTGTTAGTATTCCTTTCTTTGTATAAAGGAATAACTTTAGCTACCTTCAAATTACTAGGAAATATACCTTGTTGTAATGAGAGATTTATTTTATGACATATGTTATAGATTTGATTATACACCGTGATTGCGAAATATGTGCAAAAAAAATGGGGGATAGCTCACGGTACCATTATGTGTAAAATTCAAGTATTGGAAAGTTATAGACGAAATTAGAAATAAACATAAAGGTTACCAGAAGTTCTTTTAAACTCGGACCTAATTCAAAGCAATTACATTAATAAGCAATAACATTAAGGGCCAAACAAATTTAATAAAAAATAACACCCAGTATTCTTGCATCCTAGTTTTAAGGAGAAAGTAATTGGCACACTAAAATCATTTTCCAAAAAACCAACATCAAGGGTAGACAACATCCCAACTTAGCAGAACAAATTGTTGAACCAATAAATGTTTTCTTTAAAAACGGTTGCTTCCCAGAGGAATTGTCCCAATTTATAAAAAAAGAGACAAAAAACAAAATAGAGCATATTTTCCTTTTGTTAATTTTTTCAAAATTACAAACAGATTGATAACGTTTTAATAAACACGGTGATTTCAAAATATATGCAAGAAAAAAATGGGGGATAACTCACAATAACATTATTTCACTGTGTAAAATTCACGTTGTGGTTGCAATGTCTAGAAAAAATTATTTGAAATTAAATATAAATTCTTATACACGCCGCTATTAGTGTTGATCTACCTCTTTCAATCAATGGCTCAGAATGACTCGGATTAAGAACCAAAATAGGGACTGACAAGAAATGTGCAAAAACAAGAAAATGACCTAGTCATGATCCGTTGTTTGCATCGAACGGTCGGGAGTTATTTTGTGGTGAATTTTTCCAATTCAGAGTGTGTCGATATGGTACTCCTTTATGGTGTGCGAGAAGATTTACATCAGTGGTACAGCATCTCCGAGATCATGGTACCTTCCACTTCAAACTCACGATCATGACTGTGGTAGAACAGAAAGAATACTGCAAGCCGAAGAACAAATTTTGGAACGAGACGAAGAAGTTTTTTACCTATCAACAAACATCTTGCGACGCTCTGAAGCCTATATTGCTAGTCAAGGACAACACTTTCAACATTTCTTGTAAAAAGGTAGTAGCATTCTAAGTTGATCTTATTTTTGTTTTAATAAACAATGTAAAATCGTTGTGGCAAGGACTAAACATCCATCACAATCAAGAGTCGTTCACCATGAAACATCACCAACAATCTTTCGCCCTGACTTTTAACGATGAATGAATGCATGAATGAACGAATGATAAGCAGCAAAAAGTCAGTTTTACTTTTAATTGAAACTGAAAGTGTTTACATCGTTTTTATTCCAACGTTGTTCCACATCTGTTTACAAGGTGGATCAGTGATCCGTATCGAGGGTGGTTCATAGGGGTTTTGCCCCATTCAATTTTTATTTCCACAGTACCACGTTACGTAATGCCGTGGTTAAAATTATTGCATATATTTCGAAATCAGCCTGTATACATATCAAATTTGACAACAATCGTATTGGTAATTTCGGAGATTATTTGTTTAAAAACGCCAACACAGACAACAGATATACGGAAACGCCTGACCTAGTTTTCCCTTTGCAGTTAGAAATGTCGAGGAAACCTGAAAGTAGGCACTACTTTCACTTGAAATTTCATGCAAAAAAATTATGTTGGCGATACCAACACGTCTCACATCGTTTTTTTAAAACTAAATTTCATGGATTACTAGACATTTTTTTTTCACTCACGTGGTATAAATTTTTTTTTAAAATCTACTTTTTGTAAAATAAATAAAAGTGTAAAGTATTTTCGAGTGGTTGTGATTTAGCACTAAAATAACGATGGGCAAAAAAGTGAAAATGACAGACACAGAAATAGAAATAAAAAGATGAATATTCTAAAACACCTAACTTCCTTTGTTCCTGGAACAAGTTTCTAGAGTTCTAGAGAGTAATTTTTGTGCTTTCTGTAGAAGAAAAATTATTTATTTTATTGAGATATTATGTGTTTGTATGATAAAATATGGTCAATACACATAATATTTTCATATAATTGTTGTTGTTTTTTACTTCCCGAGCGTAAGCAAAGGAAGTATTGTAATCGAGTCCGTCGGGCGACTCTCTACTTTGACATTTTCTCGATCTCTCATGACCCCTAGAAGACGAAGAAATAGGCCTGCCATTTCCGTCTGTCCGTCCGTCTGTCCGTCTGTCCGTCTGTCCGTCTGTCCGTCTGTCCGTCTGTCCGTCTGTCCGTCTGTCCGTCTGTCCGTCTGTCTGCCGTCCCGGATTTTTAGTAGACAGATAATCTCCGAAAGTACTGGACCGATTGTTGTGAAATTTTGTACTTATATTAGGAATATCATGTAGATGGTAAAACGCTAACCAAAATTTGTCTAATCATCCCCACGACTAATGCGATGATGTCACTTCAAAATTGTAAATAGTAAATGGGTTTTAAATTGTATAAAATCACATAGTCCTACACATGTAGTTTACGACTCCGAATTGAGTTTTTACCCGAAACGTGAAGGTTCTTGGAAAAAAAAATCAAAATTATGAAAAAACATTTTACAATTTAATTTTTAATCTGCTAACCCGAATGCTTTGAAATGTTGCAGATGTTTTAAGGCTATAAAGAGCATCATAAATCTTTACTCAACATATATTTGGTTATCCCCTCCAAAATCTTGATGACGTCAGCTTAAAAGTTTGCCGAATAAATCCTATCTAAAATGTATAAAATATGATGAGTCTGTACTTGTTGCTATTTTTTGAATTTGCATATACAGGGTGACTCAAAAAAATTAATGAATACGTAAATTTATTTTACTGATTTACTCAGGAACTACAAAACCAAATGCTTTAAAATCTTGAGGATGTTTTAAAATTATTATAAGCATAGTAAATTTTTGATCAAAATGCATTTGGTCGTCCCCCTTAAAAAATTTATGACGTCACCACAACATTTTGCTTAATAAATCCTATCTAAAATGTACAAAATAACATGAGTCCCTTCTTGTGATTTATCATTCCATTCATATTTTTTGGATTTGTATATATAGGTG